GCAAGGTAGAAGCTGTGCGCAGCAAGTACACATTCTCCGCAGGATCATTGAAGCCTTCCAAACCCACCAACTGTCACTTATAGTTACTTTTATAGACTTCAAAAAGGCCTTTGATTCCATCAACAGGAATGTTATGTTTGCTGTTCTTCGCCACTATGGTGTTCCGGTCACTATCGTCAACGCCATTAGCGTACTCTACAACAACTCAAAAAGTGCTGTTATGGTGGATGGCAACATTACAAAACCGTTCCAAGTCACCACAGGGGTGTTACAAGGGGATGTCCTTGCCCCCTTCCTGTTCATCATACTTGTGGACTATCTGATGAAGAAATCCATTGAGGATACTTGCTCTGGTGTAGTTACACACCCTCGCCAGTCAAGTAGGCACCCAGCCAAAATCTTAAACGATCTAAATTTCGCTGACGACATCGCTCTGCTTGAGGCATCAATACCTAAGGCGCAATCACAACTCAATAGAACGGCTACTGCAGGAGAACAACTAGGTCTTGTCATAAGTGTTCCTAAGACCGAATACATGACCATCAACTGCAACCCACAGCCACCACTGGAAGTGTATGGTCAGCCCATCAAACATGTAACAGACTTCAGATATCTAGGATCAATGATGGCATCCAGTAAGACCGACCTGGCCAGGCGGAAGGCACTCGCTTGGACCGCTTTCTGGAAACTTCAAAAGATCTGGAGAAATCCGACGTTCCCCACTGCCACAAAGATCAAGCTCTTTAATGTAACCTGTGTGTCGGTGTTCTTGTACGGTTGCGAAACCTGGGTGCTAACACGTGACATGGAGGACAAGATTAACTCATTTGCTACATCTTGCCTCAGAATCATGCTGAACATCAAACGTATAGACCACGTAAGCAACCGTGAAATATACAAAGCCACAAACACACAACCTCTGATCTTCAGAGTGAGGCAGCGGCAACTGCGCTTTATTGGACATGCCCTGAGGATGCCAGTAGAGGAGCCACTCAGGACTTACGCCCTCTACGTCCCACCTCACGGCAGAAGGCGTCCTGGGCGCCAGAGGATGAGCTACCTGACTTACATCCAGAACATGCTGGGGGACACGGAAGGTGACCTGAGCCCTGACAACATTGCTGCGCTGGCTGCTGACCGGCGGTCGTGGAATAGACTTGTGATCGCCTGCGTTGCAGCCGACCGATGATGATGATGATGACACCGGTCACCATGGTGACAGACATCAACAAATCATGTCATTGGCCAGGTCAGAGGTTAGCGTTTGGAACAGAAGAGGAGGAAGAAACTGAGTAAAAACAATATGTTTTCCTTCGGTAAACATAAAAATTCATTCTAGTTGTCACTTATATTAATCAATTGGGTGAACAGAGCAAGCATTATGATCGAATGTTTGAAATAGACAGTTGGCAAGGTGCAATACAACAACGGATCCTGAAAAAACGAACGGAGAAAGGAAAGAATTTTCAATCACCTTCTATCTTTCACCATTCATTTTCATTCTTGTATACTACTTGTCTATGAACAGATGATGAACACACCACTCCTAGACGAACCAAAATTACCATGATAAGACTTCTTAAA